GGGGCTTGATCTTGGAAGAACGATGAACGAAGAACGAAGAACGCTTTCTTCAAGGGCCGTCGGGGCTTGATCTTGAAGGTGGATGATTGTTGATCCAAGGGGCCGTTGGGGCTTGATCTTGGAAGAACGATGAACGAAGAACGAAGAACGCTTTCTTCAAGGGCCGTCGGGGCTTGATCTTGAAGGTGGATGATTGTTGATCCAAGGGGCCGTTGGGGCTTGATCTTGGAAGAACGATGAACGAAGAACGAAGAACACTTTCTTGATTCTTCAGGAACCTGGATGCTTGAGAGCTTCGGAGTTTCAGAGCTTCAGAGCTTCAAGTTGTAATATGAATTGGTCCCTTTAATGAATGAAATGGGCTTGTATTTATAGAATTTTCCAAGGCCTAATTTTGAATATAATATTCTAGATGAAATAAGTCGTTTCTGCCAGGTGTTGACACGTGTCCTATTTGATGACTTTTCCAACTCATTTCAATTTTCGTTGAGTCACACGCTACGTGTAAAATTTATGTAATACATGAGCGTTGACACTTTGATTTATCGGTCAACATTTATTTACCGAAATTTCGATGTCTACAGTGCCATCTATGGAGATTGATCATGAGTAATCTCACTAAGGTCATATCTGGTATTGAATTATTTTTCACCAAAAGCTGATTTACTTTACAGTTAAGCAGTAAAAAAGTGTGGTAAAAATAAAACATATGTTGCAGTCCTAATAAGATTGGAAATATGATTGTGTAAATCCTATTGGGATTCTGTTGTATCTTTTATATAATATCTTATTTCAGATGTAATACCTAATCGATAAGGAATTTACCTTCCATACTACTAGAAATAAATGCACACTGGGGTGAGATAACACACACTTCAAAATTCACCAAATCTCTCTCTTTCTCTGTGTGTCGCGCCCCTCTCTCTCCCTCTCTATAATTCTTCAGTTAAATAGGCATACAACACGTTATCAGCACGATCTTGATGATGCAAAGGAACTAAAGGTTCGTGGAGGAGGTTCTTCTACAAATTTAAGGGCTCAATTTTCCTTTTATAGCCGATCAGGTTCTTCTAGAACACATGCTTGATATTTTATAAGCCCTTACTTGCATGAAAACATTCTCCATAATACAAGAACCCCCAATCTATTATTGCATAATGTTACTATTATATACATCGTATATTTGCATATATTTGTCAATATATATAAGAATGTTCATGCATGCGCAATTGATATATATATATATATATATATATATATATATATATATATATATATATATATATATATATATATATGTGTGTGTGTGTGTGTGGTTAGGCCCTTTAAGGGGAGGGATCCCCATTTTTTCCCCAATAAAAAAGGGATTAGTTGTGGGACCCACTCTATGTTTTGTAAATCTCGATTCATAGATCATGCTTACAAAAATTCAATTCAATTCGAAACTATTTGCCCATTTAATTATCACGAAATTTCATCATTTCTTATAAAACAAAGTGTTGGTCAATTTCTTTTAACTCAATTAGATGCCTCAAATAATAGATGGTTAAGATCGTTGAAGTTTGATGTGGTATGAGCTCAACAACTAATTCCCATTAACAAAAAATGGGGGACTTCCCTTAAAGGTCTGGAGCCACGAATGGGAAAATTGCGGTCGAGCCACGGTCTAGAGCCACGCCGCCGCACAGAAGCTGTGCGCCAAGCCGTTCCTAGTTGGCTTAAAGCCAAGTCGTGTTGAGCTGTGCTACACTGAGTCGTACCGAGCTTGAAGCTCGGGCATGCCTTCCACAGGACTCTATAGCCTCGTTTGATAGCTCGTATAAGGGATCAAATAGGATTAATAATCCGAATCCAGTTGTTTGGTACTCTCTCGTATTAAATAGCCACATGATTATTTAACCGGTTCCACTTATTTTATACGGTGTATACCCACTTGATAATATTGTCCAAATTGGATTAATTATTAGTCGGGTTGCATTCACTTTCCTTCTCTCGTGAACTCTTCTTCACTGAAAAATTCATTTGATGTTCTTCCTATTTCTTCTTCGACCCAACAACAATTCTCTAGCTTTTCCACCAGCAAATTAAACCCAACTTGACATCCTGCCGACCAACACACCAGAAAAGATCTTGAAATTCCTTGCATGCATGTCTTCGTTTTCCACCGGCAAATTAAACCCAACCTGACATCACGCTGCTCAGGAGCCACGCCGTCTTCGTTTTCACACCCATATATGATGGTGGATCGATAATTGAGAGATTTCATCTGGATTTTGGGATTAGTCGATGATTAAATTTTGTTGTTGTGGGGTAATTAAACTCAAAATTGGGAAAGTTTCATATGGGTTTTTTTTTTTTTTTTTTTTTTTAATTTCAATGGATTAGAAACCATGGAGATTTGGAGATGATAATCTGGCAGCAGTGATTGTGAAGAGAGATGGAATATGAGCTTTTGATTTCAATGGTACATGGTGGCGATGGTGAGTGCTAGGCGGTTGCCTGGCTTTGCTCTTCCTCTTTTCTAGGTTTTTTGTTGGTGTAACAAATTGTTTTAATTATTATTATTTAATATTCTCTTTTTTTACTCCATTTTATCTTCCATGAGTTTTTGAAATTTGTTTTTCTTTAATTTTATTTCCATTTTATCATCAATTTTATCTTAAAAAAAAAAGTAAAAAAATCTTCTTATCAGATGCAGTACCAAGACAGTATAAATAATCCTACGTTAGTTTATTTAATTAATATTATTCGATGTAGAAATCATCTTATCCGACTAAAATAGTCTGTACAGTTCGACCTGCCAAATGAGGCCTCAGAGTATAAATTTATACAAGTGGCTTAGAGTACAACTAGGATTCCTTGAAGTACATGTTACAAAAGTATAAGTGTACTTTGTCTAGACAGAGTCGGCCCTGAGGGTGTGCAACAGGTGCAACCGCACATGGCCCCCGATTCAGAAGGGCCCCTAAATTTTCATTACATGTATATAGATGCATATAAAATAGATTAGATGCAAAAGATAATCTTATATGTGATTCTAGCCCAAGTGGTTTAGCTCTTCTTTCTTATAGCCCATGTGCTAGGTTCGAATCCTAGTGATAATGTTTTGTTATATTTTAAGCTTTTGCAAATTTGTAAATAGGAGGTAACAGAAAGGCATGTATCGAACTCAGGACCTTTGAAGGTAAGGAAAAACACCTGGCTGATCAAATAACTTATTTTTGTTGTAGTAACTTGTAATATTTTAGTTTTATAGATGAAAAAATTGAAAAAAATAATAATAAAGAAATATAACATTAAAAAAAATGAAGGGCCTCTATCTAAGTTTTGCACATGGCTCCTCAATACTCAAGGTCGGCCCTATGTCTAGATGTTTGAGTTCGAATCGGTAATTACTCACTTTTATTTTTTTATTTTATTTTTACCAAACGATATTATTTACACTAAGGAAAATGGGTGGGTTTAGTCTCACAATGGGCTAGCAATAATGTGGCTCGATTTCGCCTTTAGCAAGAATCGAACCTAATACCTCTCACTTGTAAATGAAGATGAATACCATTAGACCGTAGCAGTAAGTGGCTACTCACTTGTATTAACATCAGGAAATAATGTTGGTTTACTATAGGGATTCTAATAAGAGAATCATAAAGATTGTTTATTAATAAAAAAAGATGTCATATGCTATCACATAAATTGATCATTGAATGAATTTCATTGATATCTCAGAGTGCATCCAACGTGTATCGAACTTAGGACCTTTGAAGGTAAGGAAAAACATCTGGTTGATCAAACAACTTATTTTTGTTGCAGTAACTTGTAATATTTTAGTTTTATAGATGAAAAAAATAAATAATAAAGAAATATAACATTAAAAAAAATGAATGGCCTCCATCTAAGTTTTGCGCATGGCTCCTCAATACTCAGGGCCGGCCATGTGTCTAGATGTTTGAGTTCGAATCAGTAATTACTCACTTCTATTTTTTATTTTTTGAACAAACGGTATTATTTATACTAAGGAAAATTGGTGGGTTTAGTCTCACAATGGGCTAGTAATAATGTGGCTCGATTTCGCCTTTAACAAGAATCGAATCTAAGACCTCACTTGTAAATGAAGAGGAATATCACTAAACCGTAGCAGTAAGTGGCTACTCACTTATATTAACATCAGGAAATAATGTTGGTTTACTACAAGGATTCTAATAAGAAAATCATAAAGATCGTTTATTTATAAAAAAAAGATGTCATATGCTATCATAGAAATTGATCATTGAATGAATTTTATTGACGTCTCAGAGTGCATCCAACGTGTATCGAACTTAGGACCTTTGAAGGTAAGGAAAAACATCTGGCTGATCAAACAACTTATTTTTGTTGCAGTAACTTGTAATATTTTAGTTTTATAGATGAAAATAATAATAATAAAGAAATATAACATTAAAAAAAATGAAGGGCCTCCATCTAAGTTTTGCATAAGGCCCCTCAATACTTAGGGTCGGCCCTGTGTCTAGATGTTTGAGTTCGAATCAGTAATTACTCACTTTTTTTTTTTTTGAACAAACGATATTATTTACACTAAGGAAAATGGGTAGGTTTAGTCTCACAATGAGCTAACAATAATGTGGCTCGATTTCGCCTTTAGCAAGAATCAAAACTAAGACCTCTCACTTGTAAATGAAGAGGAATACCATTAGACAGTTGCAGTAAGTGACTACTCACTTATATTAACATCAGGAAATAATGTTGGTTTACTATAGGGATTCTAATAAGAGAATCATAAAGATTGTTTATTTATAAAAAAAAGATGTCATATGCTATCACAGAAATTGATCATTGAATGAATTTTATTGACGTCTCAGAGTGCATATACATACATGTCAGTAAATCATTCTTTGTTTTGTATATTCATCCTCGCTAGTCAATTATATTAATACATTAATGCGTACGTACGCGTCATGTAAATTTATGATTTTGACATACCGAATTTAGACTCTATCACATTTGATGTTGATGAAATATATGAGCTGCAAAATCATGCGTGTCGTATTTAAATTAGTAATTGCATGCGTTGGTGTTTTAATATAAAACTTTGAATGCAGGTTCGTCTTCGGTCTTTAATCTTTTACATTGATAATTATCTTTTTGGAAAAGATGCAAATTGAAATAGAAAATTTCAGAGTGTTGGTTCTTGCTCAGCTCCTCTAGCTTCTGCATCCTCAGCTTCTCACTCTCGGTCAACAGCTGGTAATTAAGCAGATTACAACAAATTGTAAGAACAAGTTCCAATTAGTGCAGAAGGCCATGCATGTAAAAATAGTTAAATTTGTGGCCTGGACAAGTAATTAATGATAATTTAGTTATTACGTTTAATTACCTCCATAAGTGTGGTTACAAGTTGAGCCTTTTCTTTGTTCTTTTCATTGAATCTTTCCAGGGCTTCTTTGTATTCTTTTTCCTGTTTGTTGACAGATAAGATGATGTTTATTTTTCTTCTAATTTTCAAGAATATATACATATAATGCCAGCAGAGTAGATGCATGATCGAATGTTTATATTGGTGTGAAATGCTAGATTGCACCTTCTTCTGGCAGCTCAGTCCCAGCGGCTTCAGCTCTCGATTAGCCATGTCGATTTTCTTCCTTACATTTGCAAGTTCCTTCCTCATGGGATCTCCCATCACTTCCAGCTTCTACTAGGTTGGAAAGATAGCGCAATATATATCATAGCTTCATTAGCAAGTGATCGAGTTATGCAAGACTTGCAGCTCAATTAATTAAGAGCATTCTCCTACTTATACCAGTGTTGCTTGGTATAAAATATAAAAATAATAAACAGTAGAGTTAATTTGTAGGACTTACTTCCCAAATCTGCGCGAGACGCCTAGTTTCTTCCCCAGCACGACCCAACTGAAGTTCAACTTTCTCCTTAACCTCCATCTTCTTCCTCTCGATCTCTTCCTCTTTAGCTTGGTATGCCGATATTGCCAGCCTCGAAATCTCATCATCGTCGTTCTCCTCCGTTGACAGCCTCCCACTACTATTGGAAATGGAATTACTTCCAAGGCTATTCATTTTCTGCATTTCAATTGTTTGTCACTCCAACAAGTTCCAAATCCAATTAGCCTTTTACATCTATCTGCTTCCACCAATGAAAAACCCCACCACGTATATATAACATTCTACTTCCATACGCGTGTCGCAATTGGTTTTGCTTCAAACTTGTCTCTCCCCTTCCTTTTCTGGTAGGCCTTCTCTTCTCATGCTTTCTTTCGACGACATGATTCTCAATCGCAGCAGAGACAAGATGAATTGTTATGTTCTTATGTAAACATGTTTATATATATATATGCCTAACTTAACATTCATACCCTTTAAATGTTTTGACTTCTATTTATCAATTTACTCCAAGTCTTTAGACTCCCATCATTATCTAAGCCCAATCCGTACAATAGTTATACAACGATAATAAGCACTTTATTTTGACTGAAAGAGAATTGACTCTAATTGTTTTTCTAAAGGAAAATTAATTAAAAGAGTTTGAAAACTTTGAGTTTTAAAGATAAAGACAAAATAAAGGGTAAAGTGAATAGTACCATGATTGATTTTTTAGTATAAAAATGTGGTTTTTCGTTAAAGTAAACGATACCAAAATTTTTCGTTAAAATTCATTTTTTCTAACCTTCGATTAAATAAATCAAATAAAATTAATTACATGAACAAGGAAAAAAGTGCAACAGAAGAGTATATAATGAAAACCAATACTCTAATAAAAAATGTTCAGGCCCGCAGTATGTCTTTAAACTTGTACACGTGTCATCTTTTTATCAAGCCATGGTGTCACTACCACTGCCACGTTGTCACATCCCCGTAAAAGTTTCTCTTCATTTTACAACCTTAGCGATCATATTTCCTTTATTTTTTGCACGAAGGTAGTTGAAGTGTCAAATTTACAAGTGGACGCCATCTCATTTTTAAATGTGGGCAACTGTAAGGAAAATATGGCAACACTGGCTCAACGTTTGCTTCAAGCAACGAGGAGATGTGTTCCTCTGTCAACTTTAAATTGGACTAAGCCACCCAACAAGCCTACCATATAATTTTGCTTGAATAGGCTTTTAGTAAGAGTCCAATTTAAAATCTCTTATTTACTAGTGAAAGAAGTATCGTTAAATCAAAATAATAAGTGGTTCTTCCGCTGTCACGTCTTAAAATTACTTTTCCATTTTTTTTCTTTTAATCAGCTTTTCCCTTTCAACCATTGAGAGTCAATTGACTCAGTTCAATGACGAAAGTTCACTTTGCAGTCATTATATTAAAATGGTCATTTACTCATGGGAAACGATAAATTGATATGGAAAATAATAGACACGTCATTCTTAGCCCCTTACACACCGTGATTAATTAGGTTAGTAGTATTCATTTGATTTATTCAATCTGATGTAAAAAAATAATGGCAAAAGATAGGAGTCTAAGAGGCCAAAAAAAGTGAAAATCACCTCCCATTGATAATCACACCATTTTTCTTTCTCCTGAATACCCTTCTTTATTTATGATCACCAAATTGAACGATCGAATGAAAAAACATACATGACTAAGCATGTGTCTAGTGGAAGAAAAAGAGTGTTATCATTTCCCAACCAAACATTAAAAAGAAAATTCTGCCATGCTTGCCAGAATAGAAAAACATAATTACCCTCGCTATAATGCAGCAAGCCAGTGTGATAACTTGAGAAGCAAGTAATTCCAAAATCTAAGCGTTCCTATCTCATTTGACAACATAACAGGGCACGCATTTGGCTATCAATCATAACAATTTCTCAACAAATAACACCCAGGAAGAACTCCTGCCAAAATTAGGGTCAACCTGCTTCGGTAGGAAGATGAAAATGAGATCGCATCATTTCCGTTGAACAAGTGAAATGAGAACATCTCCAAAGCAAACCTATCTTTTACATTCCTCGAAGGAAAATTGTTTCTCACAGGACATGAACTGTCAATTACAAGCTGTATATTATGAAGAGTAAAAGTTGAAGGTACAGGAAAGAAACTTGAGGGCAGGCGCTGAAGGGGAAATCAACGAATCGGAACTGTCTGAGGAATGAGGAAAAATCACAAACAACACACAAATTCTCATTCAAACAAAGTTCATAGGATGCTACACTATAGTATAAACATTCTCTGCCAGGAAGTGAAGATGGGAGCATTAGGGTACAAACGCAATATCTTTGAAGTACTCATGCTCAAGAGCACTCCTGGCCGTAATCCTTTTGCTGGGATCCAAGCAGAGCATTTTCTGGAACATAAAAAACAAAGTACTTCAACGATATAAAACCCACACTGCAAAATATATACTTTTATTTGTGTTTATCATTCATTTTCTTCCTCTATCAAGGCCTTTCCAATTTTCTAGATGTCATGTGGATTGGAATAAAACTTTAGAGATTGACAAATCCAACTCCTCAAGTTGTCATGTTGCAGGATTGGGCTCATTAAAAAGAAAATAAGATATTTTCATGTAGAATGAACAATGGACAACAAAAAAGACTCATTAAAAGAAAATAACAAATTATCATGTAGAACGAACAATGGACAACAAAAATCACCCATATGGAGTTGCTTCCAGGCTATATCAAAGTCCAGGAACCCTTTTTTGTTTCTTTTCCTTTTTCAAGTTCTACTCTAGTACTCCGCCCATATGTTATTACTAACACCTTTGTGGGATCAGCTAGGAACTGTATTAATACTCACAATTGAATCACAGTGTTGATGTATGTATATGAACAACTTTTCCCAATTGAAGTGCAGAAATTGAATCTGAACTTACTGAGAGAAGATCAACACCAGCTGAATCAAGATTTGGAACTACACTTGCCAACTCCTACAAAGTAAAGGATGCTTTACTTAATATTATCAATAGCACATAGGTTGACGATTTTTATAATGGGAGTACATAGCAACACGCATAAAGTTTTATTACCTTAGCACCCCACTTCGGAAAGGAAGATTTAAAATCAGGCAAAGAATTCACTCCAGGCCATGTATCCTCGGTCGGAGTACCCATGATTCTTCATATGAAAAGCAACAGTGTGAGTGGGATAGGATCTATTGAGGATGATGCAACACATTATATGGTTTACAAACATTTGGATGCATATGACTTCCACGAAAAGGAAAAAAATAAGGAAATTAAAGCATAGAGATTTGGTTGGGAATCTTTCACCTAAATATCTTGAACAATTCATCAATCTCAGAGTCCCCAGGAAATAAAGGCCGTTGGTTTACCATCTCGGCAAATATACAACCCACTGACCACACGTCAACTGGAGTGGAGTAATGGCGAGAACCAAGCAATATCTCTGGCGCTCTGTACCAGAGGGTCACCACCTATGGCGAACCACCATAAATAAATCACTTTTTTTAACATTAAAGCGCACACCCACACACACCAATAGCTCTCAGTTGTTAACATATCAAACAACCGAAATGTTGCAGTTAGAAAGTTTAATTTCAGTACATGTGACTGCATCATATTACTGTTACTAACTGCCACATCTTTTTTTTTTTTTTTGTCACTTTCAATTGCTAAGAAAAGAAAAATTATCTGAATTTTACAGCAACAGCGAAATGTCAAGATCTACTAGAGACGCATTCAAACCTCATGAGTAAATGTCCTAACAGGAATACCAAATGCTCTAGCCAGTCCAAAATCTGCAAGCTTTAGTGCATTGGTACGACGATCTATCAGCAGATTCTGGGGTTTAAGATCTCTATGAAGAACTCTATGTGAATGACAGTAAGCAATGCCTCTGAGAATCTGGTAAAGAAACAGCTGCAGAAAGAGGACATGACCAATTAAATTCCATTGTAAGCTTAGTAATTCAATAGTTTATTGTCAAAATCGGGATAGATTACGTAACACAAGAAAACTCCAAGACCGATGTAAGGTAACCTCAGTAGAAACTAGAATTAAGGATCACAAGCATCACACTACTTGGGCCGTAAAGGACTTGAAATCTGCTTCGCAAACTAAGAGAAGAATTGCACAGGTAAATGAATGAAAAATGTAATAGAAGGAACTAAATACAAAGCTTCCAGATGATAGCCTAACATTTATTTAGCAAAGCTAAATTTCTTAAAACAAAAATAGAAAACTGCAACTGAGATGAAATACCATAATTTTCTGACCACATAAGTACTCAATGGACACCATGTCATTTAAAGGTTTCTAAAAGTAAAAGTCTCTATATCAAAGAATGCCCGAACTTCTAATGTGCAGAGGGACTCACTTTTATTTGGCGAGGGTCCTTTGCAAATTCAGGAGTAGAATCCATATGCTTCTTCAGATCCAAGTCCAGGTACTCAAAAACCAGATACAAGCGCTTCTCACTGTGCACTACATCCTGTAACCTGTCAAGCAATATCCATAAGTATTTATAATATATAAATCATTTTGCAACACAACCAAGCTTTAAGGAAAGATGATATGTGTCTACAAAACCAGATCAATTTTTTTTTAACAGTATAGTTTGTCTTCCACTTAACAAAAGGATTTTGTTTTAAACATTTCTATGAGGACCCACGTTGCTATTTTATTTTTTGGGGGCCATGCTGTGAAATTACACATTAGTTAGACACTGAAAGAAATGCTAGTTCCCTGGTCAAGCTCAGACAATTCAGGAAAACAACATGCTCAGAGCAAAGTAAAAGAACGGTGGTTATCAAGGTCAGTCATGCTATATTCTCCGGTTTTGAGAATGTTTGGGATAGAGTTCAGTTTTTGTCTGTGTTGTGGGCATCAGTTTGCCCACAGTTTAGAGGAATTTCGTTCTCCTTATTTTGCTAGATTGGAAGGCAGCTATTTTCTGGTTCATCATTTTTCTTTTGTCAGCTATGTGGAGCTGTTAGTTTTTTCCTGAGCTGTAGTGGTTTTTTTGCTCAGGATGGTCTTATACAAGCCTCTCAGTATCTTTTCTTTGTTTTCAGTATAATCGTATCCTTTTAAAAAAAAAAGATTGAGTTGTTTAAGTTTCCATTAAGAACAGAATACAAATAGGAAGAAGCACATGATACAACTAAAAATCAAATATGGTCCAAAAATAAAATATTAACTTGAGATCATAGTC